ATGTTAGTCCTTGTGCACATTAGTCCTGTGGTAAAAAAAGAAGCTGTAGGAAAGGAAATAAACTGTGTGAGAAGGGGAAACTCAAGCAGGTTTAGAGTAGAAAAAAAACTTAATTTAAATACTGAAGATTTTGAAGCATAATGGATAGCATTTAGTCCCTGGCAAAAGTCTGAGTTCAGTGATCTGTGTAAGGGAATAAAGTGTACCCAGTGTTTTAAAATACGTGCTTTAAAAAAAAACATCCCCCAACTGATTTATAAAAAAAGGAAGGTATGATGAGATCCAGCTTCCTGTAAGTTTATGGTAATTTTGTGCCTTTTGCTAGCTGTTCTATTTATGTGGTCCTTTACTGTAGCCTGGCTCCCACCCTTTAATATAGTTATCCTCACAGCACTTCTTTGTGGTAAGGAAGTACAATAATCCCCACTTTACAAATGGGGAGCCATGGCAAAAGAGAGGCTTAGTGACTCGCCTGAGGTCATGCAGGCAGCCCATTATGGAGCAGGGAATTCAACCAGGACTCCCAAACAGCAGACAAATGCTCCAAGCCCAAGGCTGTCTGTCCTTTAGCTCATATTTTTAAAGCACTCAAAAGGTTGTATCCAGATTTCAGAGATGGTTCAGGGGTTATTGAATCCAGTCTGACTAAAATAACAGAATAGCTGGACCAAGTGAAAATGTGCTGCTTAGTGTAGAGTTGCAATATCAGTAAGTCAAATAAAGGTTTTTCCGCACACACACACAGGCACTCTCTGCAGCTCATTTCTCTCCTGCCTCGGAGGAAGGACTTGGTGAAAGGAAATTGGTATAATTAAATGGTTATGTAGGAAGCTGATGGTAAGTATTTACTTTTATAAAATAAGTGGAGGAGAAAAAACCTAGAGGTGGATTTCTTAGTGTTTGCTTTTTTGGGTTTATTTTTGGGAGCAGAGTATTGAGTGACAGAGATTTGTTCCCAGTAGAAAATGCTTGAAACACACTAGTCTGCTTTGGTATTAGAAAGATTAGAGGGCACACTGTGAGAATTTGTAAGGATTTATGTGCTTTTTAGAGAGGATTAAGAATAAAAAATAAAAAAAGAAATCCAGATTAGAAATGCAGTCTAACCACATCAGTACTCTACAGGCCAACATTTGCATGGTGGTTTTCTTTTATGTTTAATACCACGATGTTTGCATTGCAACTTTAGTTACAGTTGGTTTTGTTTAAAGACCACAGTCTAGGTGTTCATATGGTATGAAATGTTAGGATTTCATATAGTATCCTTGAATTCTTATTCAGGAGCAAGCTTGAAATATCTAAGAAAAATATTTTAGGGATATTCTTATATTATAGAGTTGCTTAAATAAAAAAAAAAAAAAAAAATCAGACACATTTCATAGCTTTTAGGTGTGTGCTTTCTTCCTTTCTATCAAATTGTAAGCTTGGACAAGATTTGTTCTCCGGAACATTATTTCTTTAAAATATTTGGACATGGTAGTTCCCTAGTAACACCAGACTGCACAACATGGAATTAGTTATTTGTTTAGGAACAAAATTGTTAAACATCCTCTAAGCTGTAAAAGGATACTTCCTAATTATTTACTAGAAGCATCCATAGTTAATTAAAGTCAGACTGCTAAATGTGGATGATTAGAGGCTTATGTTGCTAGAAAACTGCTTGTGCTGATTTGAGCTAGTATTTAATTTGTAAATTCAATCCTTTTTAGACACTTTATTTAGGAAAACCTTAAATCTTTGCAAGATGTTCTCATGAAAAAAAATAGCTATGTCTTTATGCTTTACAATCTCACCATATTACACATCAATTTGTCCATAGCTTTTGGTATTTACCAACATGCAATAGAAGTGTAACCTGATCAGTAACAGTGGCTTAATTGTTCAGGATTTCTGGGGTTTTTTTCTTTCTTTCTACTTCCTCCTACACTCTTTCTTTTTTTCTTCTTTTTTTCTTTAATTTCATTTGTGTAGAGCTTGGAGTTGGACTTTATCCACAGGACAGTTTGTCCAATACATTCCTGGGCCCAGTGATGCTTGGAGGATGAGTGAATGTTGAATGTTGTGTATTTTCCAGCAATGTGCCAGTGTCTGTTTCAGGTACTTAGTACCATATCCAGGTTTCTGTGCATCGTACCTATGTACAGATACTTGATCATTTTGTCCCTGTAGAAGTCCTGTGAGCATCTGGAGTACCTATAATTTTTCCTCTTGCTCTTTTCAGCCTGCTCTTTTCAATGACAGTGGCCAAAGTAGAGTGCTCTTTGCATGGGTGAACATCATTTGAGTTGGATTCTGGATGCTGGCTGTTTGGTTTAGCTTTGTTTTCAATTTTACTACCCTTACAACATTATTTTTAAAACAACATTTAGGTGGCATGTGCTTTCTGTGATGTTGTTTTGGTCTCGTAAACACTTTGCAAAGTCGACACAGATGTGTGGGGAAGGAGAAGTTTTGTTCCTGGCCTCTTATGGTTTGTATTGCAGCTTCACTGCAGTTTAGATTGTGTTGCATTATAGTGCCTCCTGACAAGAAAAGACTTTCATACCATCTGCATGATACCTGGCACATTATTGTCACTACTGGTGATCTGAAAATTTTATTGCAGGTTTTTAGTAGTGGACTGATTAAGAGTTCAAAGCTAGGGACACATTGCAAATATGAAACATTTATAGACTGTGGAAAGGTGTATCTTAGCAGGGGAGAAGGACACGTGGGAAGAAGTACTGAAGATTGATTAATTTGAAAAGTTTGGTCTTTGAAAAATAAATTTTAGAAATGTGCTGGCAGATATGAACTCAGTATGCAGCAGTTTACAGCTGTGTAGTTGATTGAAAGTCCACTGGGGTAAATTGTGGTTTTAGCTGAGTGGAGAATTGAATTTGGAGTCTTGTCCTTAATGAAAGAACAATTAGTTGAACAAATCATTCTTCCTGTTTTTCAGGGAAATTGTTGTTTATTGTGGTAGCTATAGCTGTGAGAGACTTTAAGTGCTTGTCCCCTCAGGTACTAAGTACATTTGTTAGAAGAGAAGAAAGGCTTTGATTTCATCTTGTATCTTTGGAAATGCAGTCAGTTTCTTTCTTATTTAAATGATACTGTGATTTCATATCATTCTTTACAGTACAAAGAATTTTTTTTTTTCTTGTGTATGTTTTAAAGAGGTGCTTATACTGGAAAGGAAGACTTATGCTGTGCTCTGAAGTGTCAGTACAGATGTTCACTGCAAATTTAACTTGTGGAAATGAATTTCTCAGTTTGAAGCTCTACATCATGGTTAAGGAAATAATTTTTATCCTATTTCTGTGTTGACCTCAGTAATTCAAATTAATTAGAATGTTCTAGAAATACTAGAATATTTTCTGGGGGTTTTGTTGTCAATATACAGAAATGCTAACAGAGCACTATGCTAGAAGAACTCTGAAGTCCACATCATCTGCATTCCTATAAAAGAGGAAGGATATTCCAAGCATTATTTGAAAATCTGTGTGCATCATTTATCTGATATCTTGGAAGGATTTTCCTTCTAAACTAGTTCCTGACAAGTGCATACTGTGAAGCACAAAGCTCTGTGGCTCCCACACCTTAGAACCAAAACACCCTCTGGAGGTTCCTCTTTCTCTCTGTTGGTTGTCAGGGAGAAAAATCTCAGATGAAATATGCAACTTTTAGACTGATACCTTCTGTGAGAGGAGCTGCCCTCTTTAACTGTTTTGGATAAACACAGAGAAGGTGTTTCTGTTTGTTCATGGAGCGTGTCATGGATGTTCTGTGGAAAACTAAGTTTCAGACAGGGTTTCCAGGTGCATACATGTGACATTGGAGTGTAAGTCCTGTTTGGAAATGAATGAGTTTTCTGTTCCCCTGCTCTGCAGATAGCTGCAGCCTGTTCTAGAAAAACCCTTCTTACAGTCAAGAGTAACGTGGCCTTAGTTTAATTGATTTTTCTCTTACTGAAACTGAAGTTTCACTTTTTAGTCAAGTATTGTTAATTGCAACTTTTATCAGAGTCAGATGGATAAATACATAGTCTATCACAGGTGTGTATGGCAGAGGATTAAGACTGGAAGTCCAGTATTTTTCATGGTTTAACATGACTTTCTAGTGGGTTAAGCCATTTTTCAGGTTTTGTCTTTACTGAACTTGTCTACTAAACCGGCATTTTACAGTGGGGCTTCTAATTTATATAGATAATTCAAAGAATTAGGGTCAGCTACTACTTTTTTCCTGAAAACCATGAAATTTTACTTTTAAAAAATACAATAATTTTTGCTTTTTCTTGGGAAATGAACTGTTCAGCAGAAGAATTTCTTCTGAAGCAGATAACTGTAACTAGTTCTCTAAAATGCCATTCTTGTAGCATTATGAAATTTGGTTACCAAGCTATTTTACTGGTCTATGAACTGTAAGAAGGGTTTGCAGTAAAGAAAAGACTTTAAATTTCTGCAAAAGCATTTGTTCTGTACTGGCAGTACTTTGCAGGGAGATATCCAGATATTTCTTAAGATCTTGAAAGCTTTGGTATGAAAAATCAGATTTTCCACATTCCCACTTGCAACTTAAATCCAGTGCAAACAGAAGTCTCTTTATTTCACAAGTACTTGTTTAACACTGCCTCACTTTTGAGACATACTGATTTTGTTGTATTCCAGGCCAGGAAAATCAAAGTTATGGTATGAAAATATCCTCCTGAAATAAGTGATTACCTTTTAGTGAAGTTGTAAAGGATGACTTCTTGGTTAAGGCTCTGGCCTGGGAATTGAAAGTTCAAACTAAGTTCACCTCAAGACTGTGATCCTGACCACAACCGTGGGCACAGGCACCATTCCTGGGTCTCAGTTCCCCTCCCAGAAAATAACACCTGTCACCTCAGAATGAAGATCCTGCCATGTACACAGGTACAGCACACATACAGAACCTCTGCCTCTTATTCCTAGTTGGTTCTGTCACAAAGGTAATTAAAGACCATAATTAGTGTATTACCACTTGTTTCTCTTTTGCAGTCCACATCATGGGGGATGTGAAACTGGTGACATCTACTCGAGTCTCCAAAACCTCCCTGACACTCAGCCCCCCCGTCCCTGCTGAAGCACCAGCATTTACCCTTCCTCCTCGGAATATCCGGGTGCAGCTGGGAGCCACCGCCAGGTTTGAGGGGAAGGTAAGAAACAGGCAATGGAGGGCATCTGTGTTGGGTTTTGCCCTTTCCTGAAGCTGACCAGGGGGCTGCAAAGTCTGCAAAAGTTGCCTCTGCAATATGGAATCTTTAATCAAGAAGAATACACCAATGTTTACCCTTCTGGGGAGGCAGGAGCATTGCAGGTCTGTTTCTCTGTAGAGGGGAGTGTTGCAAAACCTGAGCATTGCCAAGTATAACCTCACTGAGTGTGCCAGGAACTGAAGTTATTATCAGTGAGAAACTGCTTCAAGGGCTGTCTCTAGTCAGCATGTTCCTCTCCTGCAATTCTTCATATTCTCCTACTGCACATTCACATCCCTGCATCCCAAACATTTGCCCATTCATGAAGCTTCATGTGTGACACAAACTTAACCCTGCTGTGGCATGTCCTTCCTAGCAGGCAAGGTAGGCATCTGCAACGAGTGTTGTGATAGTCCTGTATCTGCACTGCCTGCCATACATGTTCTTAAGTTGAAAGAAAAAGGGGTGTTTTCAGAGGAAAGACTGATTAGTTCAGGGAAACTCATTAACTCAAAGGGTTTAAAAGGCTGTCTAGTGGGGTGTGTATGTACCCCCTGTTCCCCTCATGTTTGGGATATTGACTTGTCCATCCTGGCATCTTTCATGTGTCAGTCCTGGTACCTACTCATCCTTGTTCTAGCTATCTTCCTTTCTCCTCCCTTAACCCAGTTCTTTTTCCTGGAGCTGTTAGCTTTCCCTCCCAGTCCTTTCAGCTTCCTTTGGCCCCTGTCACGCTCCGATTGCATGCTGACAGCTGCACCGTCAAACTGACCGCACTTTTAATCTTTGAAGTGGAGGGATTCGTCTGACAGAGGCAGGAAACTGCAACTCTGCTGTAACAAAAGCAAGGGATAGAAGGAATTTGGGAAATTCTTAACTTTTGAAACTCTAACTTAAACATAGGGCCGGTAGAGGGCATCTGATATTTATCTTATTTGTTTATGTAAGACCAGGCCAGGAACTGGGATTTTTCAACAGGAACTGTGTGGGAAAAAGGGTTTTGGAGTATATTAATTTTGGAGTGCTGAAGCTAAACTCAGAAGTAGTTCTTAGATTTGACTTTTTGAAGAAAATTTGGCATTTTTCATAGAAAGCAAATTTCAGTAAGGTGCCTAAACCAAAAAACGTTTTTTTACCAAACTGTCAAGAATTTTTTTTAAAAAAAAAATTGCTTACTTTTAGGTGCTTTTAAGGCACCAGTTAGAAGCACTTAGTGTGTACAACATTGGCCAGTCCCTATGAGCACTTTTGTCCTTACTCTTTGTGTTTTATTTTCTCTTCCCCTCATTGTTTCACCTTCCTCAAATGCAGTAGGAAAATGGCAGCATGCTTCTACTTTCTCCATGTGACACCTGTGTACAATGCTGTTTTAATTCCAACTGGTTCTCCCAGGCTATGCTGCAGTAACAGTTCAGTGAAATCAAAGTTGAAGCATATGCTAAGATTTTGTTTTATATTTCTCATGTTTCCTAATTAAAAGCTCAAGTGGGATATTCCCAGTTTTTATTGCACTCTGCACAGTTTTTATTATTTAAGTCAAATGGAAACAATTGTAAAATATAATGACCTACAAGCTAGAGTGCCATCACTGCTTTGCATTATTTTTAAATCTGGTTTTAAAGTGTTAATTTTCCAGGGATACCTATCCCCTTTTTAAAGCCACTTTGAAGATTGGGAGGGTAAAGTCTGAGGGTTTTTTTAAGTAGCTTAGAAAAAAATACACAAATTCAATACTAATTAAAATGTCAAGTTTAATTTCCTTGAAGGAACAAAACTTTGATTGAAGTCCTGGCTTGGACTTACTTGATGAAAAATCTAAATATGTCTTCTGGCAGTTCAGTATATGAGCGTGGCCAAAACCTTTAATTTTCCACACTTAAAAGGGGGGTGACAGCATTAGTATTTTGTTTGTGCTCTTACTTTAGTAACATGGGCAAAATGAGGGGGAACACAACAGCCCCCTTTGAAAGGCACTGTCCCTGAACAGCTGCAGGAGCCTGCAGAGCTGTTGTCATCTATCTCCATCTTCAGCTGGGCAATACAAGGTTGTTTCTTCTGCCACTTTAATGTTTCAGAGGTTCAGAAGGACAGTTGATCTGTTCAGAAAAACAGGTTCAGAAGGACAATCTTAACAAAAACAATTTATTATGATATAGTAATAGAAGGTACTCAACATACTTAGGTTTTTCTATCCTGGTAAACCTATCTAGGCTACAGATGTTATGATATCTTGTTGAAGTATAAATATTAAACCAGACTCAGGCTAAAGAAAAATAAAAAGTTTTTTAAATGGCTAGACAGGAGCTTTTCTTCAAAGAGTTTCTTTGCAGTGGAATTGATCTTATCAGAAAGAACAAATGTTTTTAGAATCCAAGACAGGATATAAATCTGGTATTGTGATGATCCTGTATTCTCATTAACTGAACAAGGAAGAGAGGGCCCCAGAATTAAACTTGTTGGTTTTTTTTCCAGCGGCATTATTAGATAAGTTGTGTGAAATGGCAATTCAAGATCAAAGAAAGTGCAGAAATTGAGGACTAGACCATAAATGTAGGAAATTTGAGGTAGAAAGAAACTGGGTCTTCCTTTAACTGGATTTTTTTTATTTCCTGTTCCTTCAACTACCACTTTGATTTTCTTGCTAAAATCTCAGGAAGTTTATTTATATCTGACTGCAGATCTCAGTTTTCCTGTGGCACCTCAGCATAGAAAGTTAAATCATCAACGTTCAAGAGTATGAGCATGACTTTGGCTTGGAGCACAGAGTAGAAACAGTAAGGCAGAGGCAAGGTTACCTTCACTAGATACTCCCCAAAGATCTGCTGGATGGACATCTCAGTTGTTCATCAATAAGTTGATGTAGTGATTTTTAGGATAACCACCCCAGATAATTGTGAAATTGTGTTGTATGTTCTCAACTTGTTAGGACTGGATTGATATGATGTTCTTCAATGGCACATCATGTGTGAGGTGAACAGCTCAAGACATTAATCTGTGCCCTGTGTTAAGGCATTGTAGCTCATCTGTCAGAACCTTTAAGACACTCCTGGAAAAGGAGAGCAAGCCAAAATGTGACCAGTCTTTGTTTTAAGCTACTTCTTTCTCGATTGTATTGAACACTGGATGTTAACTTGTGCATTTGGTTGTGGCAAGCACTTAATGTGCCTTATTTTCATAGATATAACTTTTGAGGGTAATATTGATGGTCTTTAATTTTATGAGCCTAAAAAACTACTTGTGCTATAACTCTGCTTGAGAGGAACAGCCAAATATTCTGCAGACTACAAACCCATTTCCTAGGGGTCAGGAAAGAATTTTCCTTCTTGGACAAAGCATTGTACAGTTGGCAAAAGTGCAGTATGGGTGGTTTTTCTGCTTCATGTGGGCCATCATACATGGTCCATTGCCAAACTAAGGTATCAAACTACTCAATCTAGTCTAGTAATCTAGCCCTAGGGAGCTAGGCTTCATGGAGCTCATGGTTTGAGTAGGTGGTGGGGTACTAAATTTAGTTTGGTGTCCACTGAGTAGTTACTGTTCTGCTCTTCCCCATCCATCACCAGGTAAGGGAGCTGGATGGTAAATTTCAAGTCAAGCCAGGTCAATGTCAAAGCCTTCCCTTTTAATGTACTTTCTTGTTGTTCTTCTGCCACCTTCTGTTGCATCTGTTCAAATCAGTTAAGTCTGATGACTTATAGTTGTTTTTGCTGTTGGTGGTTGCACAGGTACTGTTTAGAAAAACATGCCAGAAAAAATGAATTGGGATCAGGCAGTAAGAAACAAGAGGTAATGGGAAGATCAGCAGTGATTCTGTCATCTATTCTGGGATAGAGAGGAGACCCATTTCTGCAGTGTGTTAAGAGGTAAAAAATAGGGAAGCATTACAAGAATGAATACCCTTAAAGGCAAACACTCCCACAGCATTTATACATTCTTTCAACTACCTTCTAACGTAAAAACTAATTTTTAACCTATTTGTTTTACTGTGGCATGTTTTACATGCATAGCAGGAGCTAGGCATGGCAAAGCCTTTGGTATCTTCCCTTAGATTTGGGCTCGGGACACCAGTGTGTGTGCCATTTCCAGCCCTCGGTCAGCAGGCACTCCAGAAGAATGCCTTAAATTACACCACATGCCTGGATTTCAAATGGCAGGATCTGAGAGGAGCCCATGTAATGACAGAGGATGATGACATGGCACAACATCCTTTGCTGTTGGCCTGAGATGTTTGCTGTTACAAAATGTACTGGGCAGCTAAATGCATGAAGCTGCCAGTGGCTTTGGATCTGCACTTTCTGGAGGGATGCCTGTTGGGAGCCATATAAGGAAGAATTTCAGGAGAGACCCATGTTTTCATGAGAGACAGTTGTCTAATGGAAGTGAGTGCTGTGAGAGGACTTGTGCTGATCTGTGGTACTGTGATACTCCCAGAAACCTGATATGAAACACTGAGATATATTTTGAAGGGGAAAGAGTTGAAAAAGTTCTTGACTTGACTGTGGATTTTATTTGATCTTTCTTTCCACATAGCACTGGAGCATTCTTGGGAAAAATGTGGTGCAGTAAGAAGTTCCTTAGATATTTTTTCTTAGGCAGACATTGAGAGGTATAGGCAGCTGAAATAAAAGAAAAAAACACAAACACAAAAATAATCACAAAGGGTGGCTGTGAACAGCTTATTGCATGCTGTTCCGATCTTTTACTGCTCTGTCTTCTTCCTTGGTGTAATCAACCTCCCATCATATTCACTTACCACATAAATGTTCTCATGAGTAATGCATGCATGGTTTTATTTGGGTTTATACTGTATAACCCTATTTTGGCATATGGAAGCACTGTCAGCTTTACACAAGGCCAAAGTGGAAGTGGCTGCTCTGCTGAGAAGAGATTAAGGTGGGATTCAGTCAAAAACACTTCCCCACACAGTGTCATTTGCACCCAGAATTATTCAAACACATTTC